GCTGCATGTTTCTAAGAAACAAATCCATCAAGACATTTTTAACTTTAAACTGTTGCTTCTTGCCCAAAATACGAGTCCATAATAACGACAGATTGTTATTATTATCCGTAACAACGCTTCCTCCAGTGAAAAAGTCTGTCTCCTGTTGTCCTCTCACGTCAAAATCCACCCACATATTTGTTTAGTGCTATTTTGGACTGTTTTGAATTGTAGTCTGTGCAGATTTCTCTACTGATTCAGACAAAATAACTTTTTCACTGGAAATAGTAACATTATGGATATTTTAGTGAGAAGCGACTTTAGTGAAGTTAAAAACATCTTAATTATGGATTCTTACAAACACCGCTTTTGGCTTCACAAGACATTAACTGATGGACTGGAGTAGTGTGGATTATTGTGATGTTTTTATCAGCTCTCATTCTGACGGCACCCATTCACTGCAGAGCATCCATTGCTGAGACACTGATGCAATGCTACATTTCTCCAAATCTGATGAAGAAACAAACTCATCTACATATTTCATGACCTGAGGGGGGAGTACATTTTCAGCAAATGTTCATTTTTGGGTGAACTATTCTTTTAATATACTTCCCTCAGAAATATGCACCAAAATGTAATATGTTGGTGTATTTGGTCTTCCTAGGTCCAGTGAACCCAGAGAAAAGCCAACCAATGGGATGAACATCAGACCGCCGCAGAGGGTGGTTTTCTCTCTCTTTTTACATCTGTTTCTCTTAAAGATTGAAATCACGGTTTCAATATTTTTGATGATACTCTATATCTGCGCTTTAGGGTCGTGGGAGGGGCCACTCTCGAGGAAGGGGGCGTGACCTTCTCTCCTCTAAGGCGCAAAAGTCCCTAAACCCCGCCCTCTACAGGAACGTGGAGTATGACGTGTGGCTCCGTTCTAAACGAAGTACTTCATCTACTTTTTTTGTTTCCGTTTTGAAATCTAGTTCGTATTTTCTTTGAAAAATATTTTTTAATAACTAATGTGTGTGTATTTAGTTCAGCAGCAGCGGGATTTCTGCATGGCCGCAGGAATGCAGTACTCTGTCGGAGATAAGTGCAAGGTTAGCAGTATGTGCTGACATTTTTACATTTTTAAAAAGCATTCAAAGACTTTTTTTAAAAAGTTGAATTTGATTAATACAGGTATACTACCGTTCAAAAATTTTAGATCTTTCAACCACAAACTTTTGAACGGTAGTGTATGTTATTATTCATTTTTTATTATATATTGCCACTTTTCATTTATTTTTTTCATTAATTTGACACTTATGATATTTTACTATATATATTCGTGATTTCATGTTTTTATTTTTAATTGTCTATTTTAATTACTGAATATTTTTGTTCACTTTGAGCTACTGAAAAGTGCCATCCAAATGAAATGTATTATCTAAAATAGGAACTGTCTTTATTTTGTTCTCTTCTGGATCTTTCTCAGGTGCAGCTGAATAATCGCTTCTATAATGCTTACGTACAGGAAGTCAGTCCTGACAATGGGCCAGTCACTGTGTTTATTGGGGAACTCAACAAACAGTATGTGTTTTTATGTGTTTGTACGTATGTGTAGGTGTTTTCATAGACTTTACTAACTACTATTTTTGAAAAAGTAGTATGTATACTGTGCATATTATGTGAATTTTCTGTATGCAAGGAACGGCAGTATGACTTAATTCATTTAGCATATTAAAATATACAGTATGTAATTGCTACTGCATCTAACACTCTTGCTTGTGTGTTTAGAGAAACTGTGCCATTGTTGAGTTTGCGTCTTCCATCTGAAGAGACTCAGTCATGGCAGACGGCAGAAAAGGGCAAAAGACATGGTGCACCAAACAACAGCACACAGACGTCCTCCGGTACGTTCTTGCCAAATTAAAAACACACTTGAATGACATCAACTCACACACGCTCAGTGTTCGCATCGGATTCTTTATGCAGAATGGGAGAGCAGAGGAAGTCGGCGATCAAACAAAATGCCATCTCAGTCGGCACCCAGCGGTCGTGTGCATAAGCAACACTCCTGGCCTCCGCAGGCCACCTCAGATGACACAAAAAACAAGTTCAGACGGTCCGATCAGCGCAGCAGTCCTGTGTGTGTGCTTCCAGAGGAGGAGAACGCCATTTTGGAGCTTCTGCATAAAGACGAGCACAACTTCCCCTCACTGGGAACAAGCCCCCAAACGGTGAAGCTAATGCAAACGCATTTATACTTGAAACACAAAAAGTGCACAAGTACTTAACTTTTGGTAACAAAGATACAAATGCATTTTTACTTTTGAATTCAGGCCACTGCTAGTGAAGTCATAAAGAAAGGAGGGGAAAAGAGAGGTTCCCGGAAGAAGGACCAAAAGGAGCATATCTCAGAGACGGGTGAGTGGTGAAGCTCTGCCCGCTTTATTTCCAGATGCACGAACATGATAGGCCGAAGAAGCTTTGGGCTTATGACTAACGTCAACTACCTTGACGTCTGTTTGTGTTTTTTATAATGTATACTTATACATATGCTTCATACATGAACTTAAATCTACAGTAGCATGGACAGACATTTTCAACCAAGTTTAAAAGGAAAAAATCTTTGTAAAACATAATGCACTGCCTTTACATCGATAATTTAGCTAATGATATTTTCATTCATGTTTAACCATTATCCTAAAGTTTATTTTGTTTTTTGGCTTTCAGAAACACCCCAGAGGCCTGTACAGAGACAGAAGAGCGCCACTGAAGAAAAACATGGGGTAAGTTACACAGAGAACAGCAGACTAGACGGAGTCATACTTGTCTTTATGTAAACTGTAGACCAAGGGTGTCCAATCCTGTACCTGAATGGCCACTGTCCTGAAGAGTTAAGCTCCAACCCTAATTAAACGCACCTGAAGCAGGTAATCAAGGTCTTTAGACTCATTATAAACGTAAGCCTTCTACACACTGCACGATTTTTGCAAAGATCATTGCAAATCACACTGTGCGACATGGATCTGATAAACTCGGGTACGACATGTATGCAGACTATATGATGATGACACCTATTGACTCGTAGGCTACGACGCACGTTACTATAGAAGAATAAAATGTCATCAGCATGCCCTAGTGGTAAACAAAAAGAGCATGATGAATCACAGTTTGGCAGTTGTCGTTTTTAAGTGTGCTGAAAGAAAGAGGAAGGGATAAAAGCTCGAGGTAAGTAGTTTTATGTTATAGCGCTTTGTCACATTGATTTCATGTGGCATTTTTATTGGCTGGTCAGTAAACGTGGGTCGTAGCAGCAAACATACTGTGTGATGATCATGCTGAATTTCTGACACTGTCAGAAAATGATCATAGGCTATCTTTGGTCACAAGACTGAAAACGGCCGTCTTTGTACCTCTCTCACTGTTTGACATAGGACCACCGTTTAGGAGCCATGATCACAGAAATCGCCACGATTGTTTCACGATGACAATCTTTTGTCTGGGACAGCTGAAATTCGTGCAGTGTGTAGAAGACTTTACAGGCAAGTGTGTTGGAGCTAAACCTTGCAGGATGTTGGCCCTTCAGGAGCAGGATTGGACACCCATGCTGTAGATATTATGCCTTTTAGGTTCTGCCAAAACCAAGTATACTAGAAAGTGTTGTAGTCCTTCACACCTGTGTTTCACAACCCTGGTCCTGGACTACCCCCAACCCTGCACATTTTGTATGTCTCCCTAATCCATCACACCAGATTCAACTCATCACCTCAGTAGTAGAGACTTCAAAGCCTGAAATGGTTGTCAGATGAAAGAGACCTCCAAAATGTGTACTTTTAAGGGGTACTGTAGGACCAGGTTTGGGAATCGCTGCTTCCCACCATGTCCACGTGCATGGCAACAAAGCAAGCAATATATCAGGGGTTCTTAACTCTGGCTCTCGAGGTCCACTTTCCTCGAGACAAAGTTTAGATCCAAACATAATCAAACACACCTGAACCAGCTAATCAAGTTCTTCAGGATTACTAGAAAAATTACAGGCAGATGAGTTTGATCAAGGTTGGAACTAAACTCTGCGGGAAGGTTTGAGAAAGTTGAGAACCACTGCAATGTATCTAGCCCCTTCCATGTTAATCTAAGTTGTTTTGTACTAACCAGCCACTGGTTTATACTCTATTCTAGATAAAGGATTCTGAGGAATCAGGGCAGAAATCTTCGTCAACAATAAAAGAGAAAGTACAAGAGAAACCCATCCCTGCCTCTCCTTTTCCACCTCCTGCTGTTATTGTCTCATCTGACCCCAAAAAAGCCCCATCTTCATCTCCGTCTGAATCTGCTAAAGCCCTTGGTCCTAATCAGTCTGCTCCTGAGGCAATTAAAAAGACCACTATCCCACCTAAGGCTAGCTCTGCTCGAAGCCCAGTTAGCAGTCAGTTTGCTCCGGTGTCCACTTCAGCCCCATCACAGTCCATCTCTGTGGCAGGAGCGGTCTCTGTTACCACCCCTGCCACTATTCAATCTATGCCTGCACCGAAACCTACCCAACCCTCATCCCAAACTGTCCCAGTGCCTACCGTAGTTCTGCCCATTCCTAATCTTAATTCCCAGCCCACTCAAACACCATCTCAGATTAGCTCGGTTGCATCTCAAATCACCCCTGTCCAAGTACCTGCTGCTTTCCCAACTCAAACTACTCTGGCCCTTTCTGGCTCAGTCCCACGTGCCTCTGTTGAACCAATCCTGTCCATTCAAACCGCCCCACCAGCTTCTATTTCCGCTCCACCATGTATACCAGCCTCTGCAATACCTGTTTCTGCCCCAGCTCAAGTTCTTGCCCCTATGTTAGATGCCCCAGATCCATCTTCTACCACCCTTCCCATTGATGGAAGCAGTGGTCCACCAATTGCAGAAATAACTGTAGACCCTCATACTACTGTGACACCAATCCCTCTTTCCCATGATCCTCCCACCTCCATCTCTCCTTCCTCTGGTCCTGCCCATGCTCCACCTCCAGACTTGCCTCAGTCCTCATTCAACTCATCAGATCCACGACCCTGTGAAACAGCCATGCCTGCCTCTGGTAAGTTTTGTCTAATGAAGTTCAATTTAGGATGTGGCATTGTTTGAAATGCGTCTTATTTCCGAAGTAAAATTGTTGTAAATATTTACTTTCTAGTAGATGCAGTTGATCAAAGTTCCATGAGCATTCTCACAGAACTTATCTTTTCCTTCAGGTGTAGCACCTGCTCCTGAGCTCCCATCACAACCCCAACAACTCCCCTATCCTCATGTCCAATGGTCTCAGCTCCTTCAGGACCCAGTTTATCCAGGGTTCCCCAAAAACGAGAAGGGAGAGGTGGAACCGCTGCCCCCCTATTCCTTCTCCCAAACAGGAGAAGACCTACCACAAGGTAATAAAGACCCTAGTGATCCATTGCGTACTGTATACAGTGGGGAAAAAAAGTATTTAGTCAGCCACCAATTGTGCAAGTTCTCCCACTTAAAAAGATGAGAGAGGCCTGTAATTTTCATCATAGGTATACCTCAACTATGAGAGACAAAATGAGAAAAAAAA